AACACAAAATGGTTTAGTCTTTCCGAATATGGAAAAAAGTTAAGGAAATCAACAGGTCGATGATAGAACCAAAGGCACTTTTAAATTCTTGTCTGCCAATTTGAATAACTGGTCAAAGAATGGAATTATTGAAAACATTCATTAAGCATTAAAAAATACCGGTGATAAATTAAATCAAAATTGGAGATAAATTTGAAAGCCGATTGACAGGATAAAGCAAGCACAACCTCATAAGCTTCCATTGTCATTGTCAAAATAACGTTGAGAAGAGAAATGAGCAATAATGTAAGCCCTTTCAAGGGCAAAACATGAATAATAGTAGGATGATGACGTAAAAAGGAGTTTAGTTAAAATTTATTTATTTATGAGACTGAGAGTTATGAGTTATTCTTATAATGGACCAGCATTCATTTAGCGTACTCCTGAGAAAACGAAAATAGGCAGTTATAGGAGTAAAAATCATCAAATAAAAAAATGATGGGTTGAAATAGATTCCTGAAATTAATATAAACCATTCTATTTTCATACAAACCGGAAAGAGGATTATAAGGGCCAAAGCAGAGAATGATGAATGAGGAAATTCCGGCCCCACTGAAAGGAAAACAAAACCTCGTTAAATGTAAGTCAAGGAGAACTGAGCACGAAATAATTCCCAGCCTGGTGAATGAAAACTGATGCCTACTGCAATCACACAATATTGGCCAGCCACTCTAATCTCTGATTTAACCACAAATGCTACTTATTTGTTACGTCGGCATAACTTATAAAACAATTAGAAAGAAAAAAAGTAAAAGCTAAAGCGTAAACAGCATGGAAAAGCATACTCAACAGTTGCCTGCAGCGGAACGATTTCTACATGAGGCACTTCAAACTAATTTTCACATTTCAAAAAGGGGAATTGGAGAAAAGTACTTTACACACTGATTTAAGCATTAATTAATGAACACATATATTTAAGAAAAGTAAGTTAAACGGTGCCTAAATATAAGTGACAAGGAGCAACAAAAAGTAGACATGAAACTTAATCAGTAGAAGAAAAATATGCAAACTTGGAATTTAATGGCGTTCAAAATACTTCATATTTATAGATATGCTTATAACATTTTACCAACGTGAAATAATGCAAGGGACATTTAATAAAGATTCCATATTATTTGAACACAAAGGAATTTGTCATTTCTGGGTCAAGAGATGGCCAACATCCAACCTTTATTTCACATCGTTTGGAGATAGAATTGGTAATAAAAGTTGGATAAGTTAAAGTGTGACTTTCGTCACCATTGCCCCATAGGTATTTAATAACACCAATTAAAAAAAGAACTAATAGAAATAACCAGTAGAGAAATCACTACTCTCGATTAGAATAATAGACTATTAAATAACAAAATTCTAGGACACTACACCAACTAATTCATTAAATTCGTGCTACTCCACATACACACTTTCTTCAGATATCAGACAAGTAATAACTGTTTATTTCGAAAAATACGAACTCGAAATTCAAAGATTAAACAATTAAGACCCAAAGATAAATAACCACAAACAAGGTTCATAGAGAGATACTTATTTCAAAATCGAAATTCCAAAATTTTCGTACGTCCTCTCTGAACCCATCTGCCTTTCCTAATCACAATTTTAAAGAACTTATCATTTTCTTTTAAAATAACCCATTTAAATAGGAAATTATAGGCGTTCTAACAAAGCTGAAACAAATCACCCAAGCAAATAACCACAATGAAATTAATTACAGACAAAGTTCTTAAAGTATTTATGAAACGCATTCACCAAACCAGAACCAAAGTTTCTATTGAAATGAGTATTTCCAAGGAAAAAAATAAACCTTAAGAACAAAGTATATCTTGAAAGCTAGTATTTAAAATGTAGATACATACTAAACTCTTATACACGGATGGTCTGTAGATCGAGTACACACATTCTGAACCTTAGGAAATGGGAAACTAAATGGCACTTCGAGGAGTCATGAACCTTTCTGCAAGATCAAATGAGGACAAATAAATCTTCTTGAACAATAAATTCAACAAAAAACTTGAGAAAAAGAAATGAAACAACGAACATAGTCAGAGGACTGAGTACCGGCGATCGTCCATAAGAATGAATTATCTGATGACAGAGATCTGAAACACATGTCCCATGATCCTTTAAAGGGACTACTGCAATGAGAAATCCTAAGTGAGGAACCCGTTATGCATTCCCAGTACGTTAATAAGCAGGAAATAATATCCCTCCCAAAATTAAGTAATTCTACATTGTGCTGTTAGAAATAGCAGACGAACCATAAAGAAAAGATTATATGGTTTATTTCGGTGACAAAATGATCAACATAAACGTGTGTAAAGAATCATACATATTAGCAGACGTAGATAGCCAACAATGACGGTAATATGATCAAACAGAGCAGTGGTAACAATGCCAGCTTCATCGTTATTGCGACAACAGAACACCAACTCTTTCAAAGCCAAGTGTTATTAGCACATCTATCACTATACCAAACACTTTTCGATAATCATCGAAACAGAATTTATGGTACAAGAGAGAATAAAATGAATATCATAGGAGCTTCCATTGATATTTGCTTTATAGAATACTTGTGACTTATGAAAAACTCTTGAATGTTTACCAACACCATTGTCAACAAGGGTATTTTAAAGAGAGCTGAAAATAATACAGAACTTAATACGAAAAGATTTCAAGTAGAAACTCCATCAAAAATACCTATGGGATGTACGTTAAAGATGAGCGACTATTAATTAACAAATGAAACCAACGACGATTGGTCCTGAACAAATTTACATCTTGCAGACATTTAGATTTACTTTAATAAATGCAGAAACTTTCGTAGAATAAACTTAGCAAATGAGACCATAGGACGGCATCTCAACTCAAGGAAATATGTACTATTGTTTTTTAGACATGCGCATAATCTTCTGTCAAGTGGAATTAGTTAATAGTGACCTTAGAGTAAATAATTAACAAAATTGATCCATCCAAAACTAGATCTGGATAAATGTACGAATAAAATGATTTTCCACAATTAACTGAATTAAGATACTAATATTCAAACTACTTCAAAACAACAGCTCTGAGAACTAAAAGAAAGCAGTTCTGATCTAAACGGCAGCCCAAGTGGAAATAAGGAATAGGAATTCAAGAAAAACAACTAAATATCTGAAACGTTAAATATAATACTCTTTTAGATATGAAATAAAGCAAAGATCAAAACTCACATAGGTGCACGAGTGATGGAAGAATTGTTGACGCCACTAGCAACAGCTGGCGGCATTGAATGTCGCTTTAGACATTTCTGTATTTGACCGGGTGAAATTGCCGATGAAGTCAAGAGATGATGCGACGAGGGAGCTAACACATGAGGAAGAGGCGGGGGCGGCGGGGGAGACGGACATGGACCAAAAGTGAGTAAATCCATGTGCTCCAAGAGAACCTGTCGCCGTTCCTCCACATGAGGAGGCAGAAAGCAGTTTTGGGCGAGCTCGCCTGCCAAGAAGGCTCGCAATTCGCTCAATACCACTGCAAGCATGCAAGGAAACTGAATTAGTAATATAAAAGAAGATTGACAAGATACTAACATTAGGCTGAAAAGCGATACTATATCTTTGGTTTACCAATAAAAGTGAATTACAGGTAAAAGATAATTCGTAGAGAACACATCTGTCATAAATATTTGAAAATAAAACATATACCACAGTTCAGGCGCATGCATGGAATCAAAACCGAATAAGCAGAGATAGGACATGGAACAATGCAAACTAGGGCAAAATCTACAGGCAGCTGCAAGGGGCAAAGTTATGATATCAGATTCGAAGCAGTAAATTAGGAAGACCAAGTTGATTTCAAACTAATTCAAGTACATACGAAATGAATAAAAATTTATTGAGCTATACTAAAAAAGGAATTTAATCTTCAGCATGAAACCTAGCCATAAGAGAGAGAGCAAATTAAATAACAAAATTGGAATAATAACAAAGAAGCTGACTTTAACTAAAAGCATGATCGAAAGACAATTTCGCATTTAAAGTAAAAAATAAGAGATTCTTACAATAACTAAAATATATTATTTAATGATGGCATATTTAAATGATCATAATTGCTGCAGGAATCAAATATACCCAATAATTTAATACAGAATCACAGAATAGAATAATAATGACTATCAAACTTTCCGAAGCACACATCATTAATTTGACAATCACAAATTAACTTAATTTAATGATTCGACAAATACTTTTATTGCCAGTACAAAAGATAAACCGAGCAAAAATAAATAAAACGAAACACATAGTTAGCTGTAAAATTTTGTGTTGAGAATTTAACATAATAAATATCCCTTTACAACTGGAAAAATCGAACTACATTGACAGAGACTCCTTGCAAAAGACATAAATTTCCACGAATTTTGATTCATAATTGACATTTTTAAACTTATCAAAATGCATAACCCACTGAAAATGCATTACACTCAATAACTCACCATCCACAGAACCCATAGGTTCAGAACAATGAACACATTAAAAAGCGCGCTTTGTAATATCCGTACGAAAAATCGCAGAACACAAATCGAAAAATACATGTAGTTAACTTAAACAATTTATTGCAAAACCCGGATTTTAGATATAATAAAGTTTAAGGAAAAGAGCTGTTTTGCTTTTAATTACTTTAAGAAATTTTCATTGTTTTAGAGTTCTTGATTTTATGTTCAGTAATTATTTGAAACAAGACAGAATTCAACTATTAACAAATTATCGGTATATTATTTAATATCGTAGTTAATTGACATATTTATTACAAATACTGTTTTAAAGCTTATATGAAGTTAGGGTTGTTTACGATTTCCTTGGAATTGGAATGGGTATTTGGATTTCTGTCAATGAAATAACGACCCGATAAGGCAAAAAACTCTGGATTTGTTCAATAACTTCATTTATTAATGCAATAAACTTATTTAAAATTATTACAAAATGCGTTTAAAGAGGTTTACTTCCTTGTATCAAGCCAGGAAAATTCGAAATTAATGATATTGGATGTGGTGATGACATGGCCATTGGATTTGTCAATACAATGAATGCATTATCACGAAGAGTGCCCAAACGACAGTGTGTCAATGCCAGAGCAGCATCAGTTCGATTGGCAAAAATGACGAGGTAGGTCGCAGTAGTTTCTTGTCCATTTTGAGGAAAGGGCAGAAACTGGGGAGACCTCTATTTAAAGTAAGAAATGGTTCGTGAACTATTCACTGGGATAATTATGCATCCTCATTGTATTTACTGCCATAAATTTTGATAACTTGCTTAAATATGCGTGAAGTATTTAAGACTCACTGTTATTAAACTCGTGATTGGTGCATAGAGTGAGATAAGTTCCTGCTGTGTGACATCTCTTGGAAGGCCTGTAACTTGTAAGATGCAAGAATTGGCAAAATCAGAAAGGTTTATGTTTGTATCCAGGGGTAATCGCAAAGGTAGCTGCCGAAGGGAATGTTGTGGGATTAAAGATGATGTGGACACTGATGCAGGTGCTGTCGACATCAGTTGTGTGTCAAATCCAGCTTGTCCAGATACTTAAGGGAGTAAATTTATCATACAAAATGTATTATTTACTTAGCAAAAGGTTCATTTTTGAAAAGCTCACAACAGTCTCTGAGCAATGCAAAATAACACGCGTCAAGATGTTGGAGTTGTACGAGGTTATTTTCATACGCATATAAATACACTAGCTAGATCGTGATTAATCTCGGTTTAATTCTTCTGATCTATTAATGTTCTGTCCATTTGTTGTCCTTCTTAAAGTTTATAAATGTGCAAACCTATTCCTTTTTTAGTCGTAAATATTTAAAAACGGAAATAAAGTCAATTTTCTTTGGCTAATGGTATCAAAATTATAGAATTTAAACATCTGTTATTCCCAAACAAATTATTTTCTTTCCTAGTCTTCTGAGTTTTAATTGAACGCATATAGGTTGAAGAAGTTATGACTGGTGAATTATTTTAGAGTATTTTAGGATATGGATTATAAAGTTGTAATGGCAAGTCTATGTTAATATTTCGACGATTTGAAGCAGACAGTCAGGTGGAAAAATGCCGCCTTTTTAATGCGATCTCTTTGTCCTGAAAGAGGTATAGTGCGTTTTTCACAATTACTCTTTATTAACCTTTTATACAATAGTGCATGAGTGTTTCGCCTTTGTGCTACAATGACTCAATCGCCATCTGAAACGTTCTGACGAGTGCACACAGACAAGCACTTTACACTTGCCTGATTAATGCTCCCCCCCATATTTCCACTTTGTTTTTTTCCAATGCACTTTGGCCAACGCCGAGATCCGCGGTTTACCGTTGTTAGCTATTAGTGATAGGCTTAGCATCTAACTCCTTGTTATGACTCATTAACTAAATTAGTGCACTTGATTCATGTTACTCCATCTGCTATGAACGGGTGCAATGAAAGAACTCGGGTAGTTTATTAAGTTGTGCAATTGGTGTCCATAGATTTTTTGCCGTGTTTTTCATTTTCCCATAGCTAAACTGACAAATTCTGCAAATTAATGTTACATTTATTATTTTATGATATACATATAACGGGAGTTTCACTGGCCTACCAGATTGTCGAATATTCGAGTCCATTTGCATCTGCATATTCAGCACTCGAGTTGACAAAAAATGCTGTGGCATTTGGCCAGAACGTACAAGATTCAACTGAAAGTCACGTGGATCAATTTCAAAAAGGATGAACCGTGGAAGGACACCCGTTGCAGAAGGTCGTTGGATCAACTGCTCCATGGCCCAAACTGCATCGTCGAATTCAGCAAAGAGAAGAAGCCACGAATCATCGGTTAAACAGGTCGTCTATGGCAAAATGAGTAGGATGAAGTTGTATTATATGGAACTGAAAAGGTAAATTCTAGAGATTGAAATTACTTACGATTTTACACATCCTATAGATTTTGGTAAACACATCCAATCCCAGAAATAATCTCATATCCTGCCTTGAGTAAGTTGTAGGTAGGTCCATAATTTGCAAAACAAATCTAGCACCACCTGGAGGCAAAGGTCGTGGAAATAAACTTTTGGGATCCGTTGGATCATTCAACTCTGTTATCATAGGAAGGTTCGCCGTTAGGGGCATTGTCAATATCGATGAATTGAGGAGGAATGGATTAATAAGACCAGCTGAGATATTCTGAATGGCTAGATTTCCAGATAGTCCTGCTACCGAAATTGGAGATGCTGTGATTGCAGAATTAATTGGAATAGTTGAGGCAGGGTCTGGGAAGGTCAGTCCAGCTGATTGAGGTTTAAAGAGTTTATTCACCAAACCGGGGATCGTATTGCTGCCTGGAGTCCCAATTTTTTGTGCACTTTGGCAAACCTATTTACGGATAAATGAAACCTTTGCTAATTAATTCATTTGATTTTGAAACAATCCTACACTGAAGCTATTATAAATTAGCAAATTTATTAAATTTTTTGCTAAATATTCCGGGTATTTTTGTGTCGTTAAATAAAAGTGATGGTTTTTCTATGCGACACCTATTTCTTATCGATTTTTATCAGAAATTAGTTTCCGATTCGTTTGTTAGCTTTGAACATCCATACTTATGTTTTTGAGATTAACTTTTGCAAATTGGCCTTTCGAACTTAATTCCCCAAAAGCTACTTTTGCTTTAAATACCTGAACAGCTTCAGACGGTGAAGCTTTGAATAATTCGACATATCGTTGACCAAGATAATTTCTATGCCTTGTTAGAGCTCTATCGGCATTCACATTATCGAGGAAGAGAACGAAGGCATCCCCCGTTGGTCTACAGTCAGCATGGGTTGCAAAGAAAATTCCATTTTCCTCATTTAAGACCTTTGCATCAACTTGTTCGAAAAACTTCAACTGAAATAAGAAAGAGATGCATACAGAGCTGTCCTTAGTATGCGCCATTTCCATAAATTACAACGTTCTATTAGTTACTGATGAAAAACCAATCATAATGCTGAAGAATTAACTCGAATTAATTATAGCTTAAGATGATTGTATTAACACTTCACATAAATTGATTTTAGACTTCAGTGTTTGTAAAGCAAATCAATAAAATGTATTCTCCATATGTTAAGTACAATTTAAAGCACGTATGTATATTATAAAATAAAATATGGTTAAGTATTAGTGAATCTTCAAGCATGTTAAGTTTTGGAAAAAAATTATAATAACCAGTAATATATGTTAGGATGATTATTTCCGATAAAAGATACCTTTTCAACGTTTAGTGACGATCGAATGGAGCAAGTCAATTTGCTCGACATTACAAATCTGACACTATAGTTTACTGAATATTTATCAGTAGCACATATTAAAACTTCCTGATAGTTATGGCTAAATTGTGTATGCAGTCCTCATCAGTGGTAAATCCATTAGACTTTGGACTGAGATTTTAGGAAGTTTTAACTGGAATTTCACCACGTGAAAAGCATTTCAAATGTGAAACCTTCACCTACACCGCCACCATCACCGTAGCTTTACTCACCATTGCGATTTAAATTAATACTTACCTGATATTCTGGACTATGGACAAATACACATTTTACTTTAATTGCTTCATGATATTTTAAGTGTAATATTTTTTAAAGAAATTCCGAAGCTAATTATTATTAAACAGAGCAATATATTTTCTAGTACTCACAATATCGGGTTTCTTTGTAGTGTATGGTAATCCCCGTATTCGTACAACAATTTGCTTTTCGTCAGTTAATTGTTGGAGGAAATTAGCAATATCGGGATATCGACCTATCATAAGACAAAATTCGAAACAAAGTTCAAATTATTTTTAAAAGCTCTAAATAGGTGCGTACTTACACTCAGCGTATTGAAGAAAAAGCGACTCCGGAACCATTGAAATTAGCACACTATTCGGACGATTATTTTGATTGACAGATGACATTTCAAGGTTAGCTAGTACATCATAATCTTCTTGCGTTGTCCTTTCACAAGCTAATTGGGCATCCAAATCACTTTCAAAAGCGATATAAGCTGTGTTACTACGACGTCCTTCGGCTATTTTAATAGCTATTCCCCCAGGTCGTATATTCAATCCTCGAAAGAAAACTGCTATTGTATATGGTGTTGCAGTCCATGGGAGTTGATGCATTTCTGCAACTGTGCCAGGGGATATAACCGTTCTTTCTGGACTGAAGTTTGAAAATTATAATGAGATTATTTACATTGATTAAGAACTCAAAAGCTAAATTAATGCATATAAGGGTGCTGCTATTCAGTGATGTGGATGACTAAGAATAGCAAGTAATCCAGGTAGACTAAAGAGTGGGTATAATGGGGGTTACTGTTAAGAGTGGTTACAGGATATCGTAGCCCCATTCCATACAATGTTTCATAGAAATCATTAAACAGAAAGTTTTAAGTCTCACCTACGACCTAATGGTAATCTCGTAGAAAAGAATTGGTAAATCTATTAGAGGACACGTCTTGACTACATCCTATATTGATATATAGCATTATTTATAAATGTGAGGGAATTAATGATCGGGAAAGATGAAGCATTGGGAATTTAAATAATGTGAATCAACTAAATATGGTAAAACTACGAGAATGAGAAATATTTCATCTCACCTTTTAAAATCATGGGGCTCATACCATCCAACGAAATTGAACTGCCTTACGAAATAATGCGAAATGGACTAAAATTAAATACTCGCCCTGGAGGGAAATCGTATTTTACCTCAATTGCTTACTTCGGCGAAGCTATTGCTCTATATTGTCTGAAATCCCTATTTGAATGAGAAAGAGATACTTTTCACTCGTTGAGCTCAAATATCCCTCAAATCTAAGGACAGGAATATTCAAATTTCACTATTTTTTTCTAACGAATGGAATTTTGAACTGTGTGTTCCCAATTTTATTATTGTATTGAATTTACTAATTTATTCGAATATGATACAAATTTATATGATAATTAAGTTTTGTTTGACAAAGTTATTAATGATTAGTAATTTATTAGCCACTCTTTAATTTATAAAGGATTTAATATCTTCAAAATTGAACATTTCGAAGATTAATGCACTGAATTTGAAATATGAGATTGTGCAAGAAAGCTTTATGTTACTTCCGTTTCACTTACATAATGGCATGAATATACAGGGGCTTAATTTGGTGAGGTTGACCAAACGGATGTCCTATATTGAAGGAAAACAAATGAATCGATCAAAGATTACGTTAATGCTAAATACCTTCAACCAAATATTTCTCAACAACTTGGCACATCCATTCAACTGTTGTTAGAGGAGTTCTTGCCTTATTATAATCTAAAAATTGAAAAATAAAGCCTTCATTGATCTTACCTTCATTAGGCGAAAACTGCTCGATTTCAAAGTACTTCCACCACAATGTATCGTTCGAAATCGATTGCTTAACTCTTGCGTGAATCATTTCATGGTGAAGGCCATTTCGAATCCCCTTATGACCCTTGGTTAACATTACAACATCGAATAGTTGACAATGACGTTCCACAGACAGTTTTACCTGAAAAAATATTTTTAACAGTTAATACAATTTCGAACGAAGTTGATTACCTCTTCGAGAGCCTGCTGGAAACTATCGACAGTAAAGTGAGATCCATTTGAGGGCTGACAATTTGAGTTTCCAATGGATACGGAGCATTGAAACACACTCTAAAAGGCAAATGTTCAGACGGAATTCTTCAATCAAGTTTTAATTAAGAACTAATTAGTTGGATAATAACTAATATAAAAGCATTGCTAACTAAGAATGTAATCTGGGAATGGAAATCACGAAGTTGGCCTACTAATTTAGTAGTACAAAACATTTGCCAACAACTCTAGGGATAATCTACGATTTAGAGTATGAAATTTCAGACGAATTGCAAGGAATTTTGTGTCGAATATGAACAAACGTAGATGGGTCGGATAATAAGAAAGTGAGTTAAAAATACCAAAATTCACAAAGACATAAGTTTTAATAGACATATATTTTCCTCCATGATTGTCAAAACATATCCGTTTATTAATTACAACAAACTATCACTCGAAATCCTCTTGCAATTAGCCACATTTTATTCAATTGCGAGAAATGTGGTTTCCTACTGATCATAGCTTTCTCAGTGAATTGGGTTATAAGACCTCAAAATACCCTTTCATGTTCCATTGGTTCCCTACATGCTATTTCAGTTGTGCGCTTTTGCAGAAAGTGTGATTTAAATAAGCGTTTAATGCCAAATTTAGAAGTAAATTACATTCCAGGATAGGAAATGGCCACCTTCTTAAATCTCACTCACCTTCAACATTGGTCATTTTCTACTTGTTGACAAGGTTGTTAACAAGCCGCTTGGTGACTTGCGCAAACTATTATGGTAGTTAATAACACTAAATCTCTACCACGATGAAAGCAAACAATCAAAATAGTATTGAAATTAACAGTGCTTCTTATAAACATACTACATTCATCTAAATAAGATCTTTAACATCCTTAAGATAGTTTCTTATAACTTTTTCAACCTAAATTTAAATCGAAATTTTGTACTGAATGCATGAGTCGTATTCAATTATAGGTGAAATTTACTTAGGCCGAATTCGCAGAGTAATAGTTGGTTTGATGAAGTCATCTGGGATTACCAACCTCAACTAGCAAGTAAGATGATAAGTCAGCGCTAAAGTTCTATATCACATTTGAAACCACCGCGTATTTTTCTTTTGGAATAACTTTGTAAAGGTTCGATCATTATGAAAGGAATCCTAAATTGCCCCTATAAAATGACTCATGCTTTATGGCTTAGTAGGAATACAGGGATTAAATTTTGCTACACCAACAGGCATCGCGTCAGTACTTGATCAATTCCCCATCTCTTTAGTTCAAAGGTCCCTAAGAAAAATAATATTCGGTTAAAGTAAGATATGACAAATCGAACACGAGCTCATAGATATCATTAATTCTTATCGCAAATATCCCAACTTGATAGCTTATAACACAGATAGAGCTTAATTGTAATATCGGTTTTATATTAAACCTTAAATTTATATCCGGATTTACCTAAATTCACTTTTTTTCATTTCAGTAATGATTTCATTTCAAATTTTTTGGAATAAACTGCAGATTTTATTTCAAATATTTCATTTGCAAATCAATTTAAAACACTGATAATTCATTTTTATATACCTTAGGGGTGAGCAAATTTCGGTAACATCCTTATAACTTTCTCTGCACTTAACTTTACTAATTTACCACTAAGCATTGAGTACCGGTGTAAACACTGTTACATTGCTTGCTTAACCTCTTCAATCGGATGTCAAACAAGACAAATAGACAAACAAGACTAATAGATATTTTTGAAGCGGTTACTAAAAAGTCAAATAGATACAAGTGTGTTTAATATTGACACACTTTAACTATTTCAAAAATCGTCAAGCAGGGTGCTCGATGAACTTACCTCCACGTTTTGCACCATGGACAACGTATACTCATAGGGCAAAAGTCAATAAACCGACAATTGGCTTTTAACTTCAAACTACCATGACCACACTGGCAGTTGACTTCTCACTTCAAACTACCATCACCCCTCACTGGCAGTTGCTTTCTGACTTCAAACTACCATGACCAACTGTATGTCATATTCGACCACTTTCACAGTACTCACCTCACCCATTTCTCAACCTATGTGTCTGTCTATTTTACATCTGTAAATCACTCGTCTTTTCAGCCTATCGATTATTTGTGACTTTGATATTCCTCCTCACTGTGAAACCCGAAGTCAACAAATGGGCTAATAATAACTATCATAAGCCTGCCATTTGATACAAATGAATAATTGTTATACTAAATAATGGAATTACAATAAGGAGAGTAATGCATGCAAAATTACCAATTGGATTGAAAGGTGACTTATCAATATCGAAGCAAATGCTTAGAATTGAAATAATTTTATTAAATTATTTAAAGCCCATTGCTTATAAGGTGATTAATTCTGTTAAGCAGAATCAACACCTTAATTAATTAAATCCTGTCTGATTTTGATCTTCAGTTGGCAATTTGTGCTGCCAAAATCAAATGGCCTTTTCCGTAAGTGCACAGCTGACAAGATAATTAACACATATGGGATGATTAAATTATTAAAATATTTAAAACAAATTTTTGTAAAAAAACTCAATAAGTCCCTTCAATCAAAATTGGTTTAAAAGTATTTCAAACAAACACTCACTTTCAGAAGCAGACGGTTCGTTTTAATGTAATAAATATGTAAATAATAAAACATGTCATAAACAATTCAACGTGAATGGATTAAACTAGGTAACCGAACTCTACCTTTCTCTCTTTGACGCAGAAAAGTGCAGCTGTTATTTGGGTTATGCAAGGGCAAGAGCCACTGTTAACGAACTCAATTGGCAGAAGATAATCCACTTTGGGTTCCGCTAATTTTGGAATTTTGGTTGATGCCTCAGGAGCTTCGAGGAAATTTCGTTTAAGCGCCATTTTCTGAAATATTCAATGAAAAAATATGAAAATAAAAAAATATTATTAGGAACTTTCAGCATCAGACCATGGCTTAACTATTGAATATGAAATTATCCATGAAGTATGGGAATACAATTACATTGCTATTAATATGAATGACACCAAATAGATCATTAGAACCTAATGAGCAAACGCCTGAGCTTAAACAGAAATTGTTTTACGTAATTATCGATTCGATTAGGCAAAAACAAAGCAATTTTGTTCTTCAATCAAACACCCACATCAATAGACGCCATAAAGCTTTCTATTCTCATATATATATCATCTGGAAAAATGAAGATCGGTAAAAAAAAAATTAACAAGTACAAAAGAAATTCGAAAGATGAAAAAATCACGCCGTTGGTAAAGTGTTGTACTGTAAATAACAAATATTAACATCTTCTTCGGCCTAAATTCGATTCCGGAACAAGGAGCATTCGAATTTCACACTTCCTTGGAAAGGCTTTCAACAATTGCTTTGACTCAGTCCACCAACTACTTGGCTGCTTTTGTAGCAATGACATGGCACTATTCTCTCTCAACAGCTCTCAATACATGAAAAATAGTTCAAAGTGTTAGAACCCGGGGAGTTCGGAGACCAAACATTGGAACTGATGTAGTTGTAAAAGCTAGCTGCCAACTATTTTGACATTTCGTAAAAACTAATAGGCATTTCTCAGAGTTGGGACTGGAGGCCGAACCCTTCTACTGAAACACATGTGGCTTATTATCATCTACTCTCCTAAACGAGTGTTTATCTACTGAGGTGATGAGCAATTCCCCTAGGGCTTTCGAATTCACACCTGGTTCCTTTCTACGATAACATGAGGAGACATCTCATTAGTATTGATGGTGTAGAAGAAACTGAGGAAATTTTGACTGGAGTGCTCGAGTATTGGGACTTTGATAGTAGCAATTTTCTCCTT